GAATTCCAGGAGGTTGCTCATATGTCCAAATTCTTGGGCAAATCCCCACGAATGCACAAAAAACAAAATAAAAAAAGGAATGAACATAGACAATAGGTTTTATTTTGTTTTTCAAACTCCCATTGGGCTGGGAATGTAGCTCAGTGGCTCCACCACCTGCCTTGAAAGAGCAAGGTCCCAAGTTCAATCCCTGGTACAAAAAACAACAAAAAGCCACCTCCCATTAATGTCAATCAATCACCAGATTTAGGAAACACATACACACTTTCACCTCCCTTAGAATTTTGTAATCATAATCCATACCATACCATTTTCTCACAAATATTACTATTTTGCATAAATATAAACATTCACTACATGTTAGGAATAAATATTGCTAGTAATTAATAGAGACAGATGGGGTATATCATAATTACAGTCTAAAGAAAGAATTATCCAAAAATATTGGAACTAGTATATCCACGTGATCTTAGAGGTCAAGAAGCAATGGAACTAGCATATTAAATAAAAACAACATATTTACATAATTTTAAGTTATCTCCTTACAAGCTTATTAATCACCAAAGGAAAAAGATTAACTTTCCAAGAAAGAAATCAAGTGGTATAACCAAGTGATCCAAGTTAACATCAACAAAAGAAAACATTTTATATGCAAAGAGGGCTCAGCATAACTTTTATAGTACTCCTACTAAAACATATAACCTGAATATAATTACAAAAAAAAATGACACAGGGCCAGGGATTAGCTCAGTGGTTCGGCCGCCTGCCTCACAAGCACAAGGACCTTAGTTCGATCCCCAGTACCAAAAAAAAAAGAGAGACACAAATGCAAAGCAAATCTCTTGGTTCAAATTACTGGTCTCCCCTCTTTGAAGGGTAAGAAAGAAAAAAATAAGGCTATCAAAACTACTGCAGGTTGGCTGGAACATGATCAGTAAATGTAATATGTGCCCCTCAATTGGATTTTGGACCACAAAAAAATGTGATATGAAGGACATTAAGGACAATGGCCAATTTAAACACAGTCTCTGGATTAGCTATTAGTTTTCTATAAATATTTCAAAGAAATATTTTTCATGGTGTAGATGACAGAACCCAGGGCCTCAGGCAATCTAGGCAAGCATACTACCACTAAGCTATATCCTCAGCTCCTAAATACTAAGCTTTCTGACTTTAACTGTATTAGTACTACACAAGAAAATGTGCTGCGCTTTACTATGGCTATGATAGTGATAGTGTTGATTAAACCCAAGGCTTCAACTGTAAGCTATATCCTCAGTCCATTTTATTATTATTTTTTTTAATTCTGAGACAGGATCTCACTAAATTGCTAAATAGTCAAGGTTGGGCTCCAACTTGAAATTCTCCTGCTACCATCTCCTGGAGTGCTGGGATTACAGTATTTATGCCTATGCCTATCAAGAACATGCTATTTTTTGGGTGAAGTATTTAGATATAATATAAAAGGGATATACTATATTCAGCTTACCTTCAAATAATATTCTTAAAATGTAGACACAGAGTTTTTATGAAAATGATAAAGCAAATGGAGTAAAATGTTCCTAGTGAGTGAATGCGGAGGGTATCTTGACACTCTTTACTAAATTTGGAACTTTGTACAATTCAAATCCTATCAATAAAAAACTTTAAAAAGAAAAGTGATCAACTAAAATAGTGCAGGTGGTACTATTCCATAGCACCACTGTTTTAACAAGAACAATCACAAATTGAAATATTCATTTCCTCAAAACAAGTTCTGTTCATGATGTGGTTACAATTAAAAGACCACCTACTTTTTCGGGTTTTGATTCCTCTTCATTCTCATCATCAGAGGAAGGACCTGCCAAAGTTGACACTTTGCTAATTACACCAAGTCTGGCTAGTTGATCCAAAAAGATATCACCACCTTTATCTACTAAATCCCTTATGATCTGTAAAGCCAACAAGTGGCCATCATCATCATCCTGGAGGGGGGAAAAGAAAAGAAGTACATGATGGCAAAGAAATTAAGGGAATATGATAAAAACAAGTTTTATTTCCTAAAACAGACAAATCCAGTAATGGGAACAAACAAAATAATTTATTGGAATTAAAACCAAATTTTTATTTCACTAACTACTAGCTAAAGGAAAGTGAAGGTACAAGAGTTTCAAGGAAGATGAAAAACTGACCTCTTGATCAAGAACAGTTGCAGTGATTTCCACTAATATTGTGGGCAAATTGTGGCCAACATCAGAATCGCAAACTTCCTTTAACAGTGCTTCAGAACAAAAATGAATCATTTTTCTGATCAGAGCAAGACTTGCTTTCCTTGAAAAGAAAAGAATTTTATAAAGCCAAATTATAAAACTAAAATAAATCAAAATGCAACTGTGGTTTAGTAAGAATCAAAGTGTCTGATACTAAGTTTTTATTTACTCTGCTAAAAAGTACAATAAAAAAACAATAAAACAATACAGAAGGGCTGGGGATTTAGCTCAGTGGTTCTAGCTTCTGCCTCACAAGCACAAGGACCTGAGTTTGCTCCCTGGTACCAAAAAACAAAAAATACAGAAAAGTAAGGACTACACTAGCACAGGGAGAATGGAAAAAAGAAAAATACTGGTACAATACTTTATGTCTATTTTGAGGAAATTTTTTTCTGTTATTAAAATATCGAGCTCATTAAACTGACAATGTGTTATTCCTTTTTATGAAAAAAATAAAACATTTTCAGAACAAAATAATGAGACAAATAGTTATTAAACTGTATATCATCATCTTCAAAGTAGTTACTCAGTACAAGACATAAGTCAAAAAGATTCTTACAAAAAAGAAACAGGGGCCAAGGATTTAGCTCAATGGCATGAGCCTGCCTCACAAGCTCAAGGTCCTGAGTTTGATTCCCCCATACCAAAAAAAAAACAAACAAACAAACACAAAAAAAAACCCAGATAACACAAGCTTTCTTTTCAACAAACTAAGATAAACTTTCAATTACAATTTAAACTAATTAGTATACACTGAAATATTTTTAACAACAGAATATGTAACTAGGGTATTTCAATTTCTCCCTACTTCCTATTTACCTCTTCTATTTTGCTGTGTATGTGTGTGTGGTTTCTTAGGAGAAACCATGCCATATGTGAATTTGTGTAGCTAATTTCACATAATATTGTGTTATCAAGTTGCAACCATTTACCTACGAATGCTATAAAGGCAGTGTAGTACTCCACTATGTATACATCTTTCTCATCCATTCATCTGTTGATGTATATGCTATTTTCAACATCTAGTTATTATAATTTGTGCTGCTAGAAACATGGATATGCATGTATCCGTGAAATATGATGATTTTAACTCTGGGAAGATACCTTGAGAGGGGAATACCTGGGTCAAATGGATTTTCTACTTTTAGTTTTATTTTGCTTTGTTTCTTGTTTGCTTTTCAGACAGGGCTAAGAACTACTATGTAGCTTAGGCTGGCCTCAAACTCACAGCGATCCTCCTGCCTCAGCCTCCCCGATTGCTATTACAGGCTTATACCACAACGCCTAGCTCTACTTTTAGTTTTTTGAGGAACCTCCACACTAATTTCCACAGTGCTTGTACCATCAACAGTGTATTGTATTATAGTACCATCAAGAGTATAGTAGAGTTTCTTTTTCCCTAAATCCTCACCAGCATTTGTAATTGGATTTTTTTTTTTTTTAGTTAAACATTCTGTATGATAGTATGTATTTTTTTCCTCATTGAGTTTATTGGTACATTTTAGATATACAGTAAAGTTACATTCATTATTGGGATCTTGTACCTTTAAGTGACAGGTCTTGGTTTTCATTTTTGCCCTTACCCCTCCCCTCCCTTCACCCCCTCCTCCCTTTCCCTTCACTACTTACAAATACTTTATTTCCATTTTTTCATTTCCTCATTTTTTTTCTTTTCCCTTATTGCCTTTCCCCTGCCCTTTCCACTTTCCCTACCCCTTTAGCCCCTTTCTTCCTATTTCACATTGTCAATTATATCATTAGGATCTTATGTACAATTATAGTTTTTCACACCAGAGAAATTATTCAATATTTACACAAGTGTGACTTAATTATTTCATTGTGATGATTCTTTTAGTTCTTTTGGAAAGATACCCAGCAGAGGGATGGCTGGGTCAAATGGAACAAGGATGGTTCAACATACGTAAGTCAATAAATGTAATATACTATATTAACAAAGTCAAGGACAAAAACCACATGATCCTCTCGATAGATGCAGAAACAGCATTTGACAAAATTCAACACCCATTCATGATTAAAAACCCTGCAAAAAATTGGAATAGATGGTCTATATCTCAACTTAATAAAGGCTATCTATGAAAAACCAACAGCCAACATCACATTAAATGACCAAAAACTGAAAATTTTCATGTTAAAATCAGGAACAAGACAAAGATGCCCACTATCACCACTCCTCTTCAATATAGTTCTGGACATTAGCCACAGCAATTAGACAAGAGCAAGAAATTAAAGCAATAAAGATAGGAAAGGAAGAAGTTAAACTATCATTATTTGCTGATGCTATGATACTCTACATTGAAGACCCAAAAAACTCCACCAAAAGACTTCTAGACTTAATTGACAGATTCAGTAGAGTAGCTGGATACAAGATGATGAACTTTTTTTCATGCATTTATTGGCCATCTGAACTTCTTTTGAGATGTATCTGTTCATTTTGTTGCCCATTTTTTAATGGTCTTTTATTATGAGGGGACTAATTTTTTTTTTTTTTAGTTCTTTATATATTCTAGGTATTAGTCCTCTGTCTGAGGAATAGCTGTCAAAACTTTTTTTCCCATTCTGTAGATTGTATCTTCACTCTGTTAGTTGTCTCTTTTGTTATGAAGAAGCGTTTTATTTGCTATGATCCCATGTGTTGATTCTCATTATCATTTCTTCTGCCACTGGGATTCTGTTCAAAAAGCCCTTAACTGGGCCTATGTCTTCAAGAGTTGTACTTATTTTATCTTCCAGAAAAATATGTTACACTTCATGAATTTGAGCATCATCCTTGCACAGGGGCAACACTAATCTTCTCTGTATTGTTCCAATTGTAGTATATGAGTTGCCAAAGCAAGCACCTATCATTTCTGTAATCTTTTTTTTTTTTTGCACACCAGGGATTGAACTCACAACCTTATGCTTTCGAGGCAGGAATGGTGCCACTGATCTAAATCCCTGGCCCATTTCTGTAATTTTTTTAAAAGGTACTACTCTATTTAACATTTAACTAGCACTACTGTTAACACAATGTAACTTCAGAAAATCAAGTAAAAAGCAATATAATTACTATCCTACAAAAATAAATGATATAAATGGTAACTAATCTAAAATTGCCTATAATAAATATAAAACTATTAATTTTAAACACCTGGAATTTCGTATGAAAAGGAAATTCTGAAATAAAGTGTTTTGTTTTGGTACAAGGAACAAACTCAGGACTTCACACTTACGAGGCAGGCAGCGGCACCACTGAGCTAAATCCCCAGCCCTGAGTTAAAAGTATTTTTGGCCTTTTCAATATTAAAATTCATGCTCACTATACCTAGTTCCCATATAAATAAAAAGACTAATAATCCCATACCCCAAAATATTCCCACTACTAACAAGTGATAGGCCTGTTTCCTTCTATTAACCCACTACTCTGTTCTGACTAAAGGAGGTGTAGCTCATAAAGCCACACAATAAAGTACACAAACACTGAAAATATACTAGACCACTGATGGTGAATCTTTTAGAGCTTTCAATGATACAAATAGCCAAATGGAGAACAGGTGCATATAGGTTTGCTACCACTGCACGAGACTAAGAGACTGTTCTATTATGAGTAAATAATAAATTCATGTAATAATTATTTTCTGATCATCTAACAATATTCTAGGCTCGAAGCTGCAGATATCATTAGCTTTGAGGTAAATGAACAGAAAGAGAGACAAAATTGCCTATTAATATCCTAGGAGTGCACCTAACAAAGCTATTTCTACAGCATGGCATCTCTGTATTTACTAACAAGCTGCATTCATAACATTCAACTTTCTCTAAAGAAGTAATGTTTTTTATTTACAAATTGAAGTACAGCCTAGAAAATCATGGATGGACAGAGGAGAAACTCCCTGAATTACCAGGATTAGTTCCTACCAGTTTTTGTTAATAGCTATTTAGTCAGTTATAAAATTGGTATTTATGTATTATAGTTTTATATTGCACTTTACTGTTTTTATTTTTTTGTTTTTTTGAGACAGGGTTTCCCTTATATAGCTCAGGTTGTCCTTAAACTCGCCAGGTAGCCCCAGACTGGTCTTGAACTCATGCCCCTCCTGCCTCAGCCTCCCAAAGTGCTGGGATTATAGGTGTGTACCACTGCACCCATCTTAATACATTTCAAATTCTCAGGAATTCCTTTAGATTTAGAGTATAAGGTAAGAACTAAATTAAATTTCTAAGTCAAACTACAAAGCAGATATTGTAGTACCATTTAATAAATAACCTTCCCCTAAATGATCTGAGAAAACTTCATTCAATAAAATCCTGGGGCCAGGAATTAGTTCAGTGGTACAGGGCCTGCCTTGCAAATGCAAGGTCCTGAGTTCAATCTCTGGTACCAGAAAGGAAATAAATAAATAAATAAACAAACAAACAAACACACACACAAGTTACACATACATACATGGGCGGGGGAGACCAGGGATCAAACTCAGGACCTTGCAGGGCAGGCGGTGACACCAGTGAGCTAAATCCCCAGCCCCTGTAGCTGGCTCTTGTGGGGAGACTATTTTTCCACTGATGTATAGAGTCTTCTGCTAGTTATAATGATATTATTATTAAAGATTTAAATCTATTCAATATTTTTCTTGAATAATCTCCTCTTTTTTTTTAAGCTGACTTTGGAATCTGCCAAATTCGAAAACAAATTTTGGCCAGGTGTGGTGGTGCACAACTGCAGTCCCAGCATTTGGGAGGCTGAGGCAGAAGGACTTCCATGAATTCAAGGCAGGCCTGAGCTATATAGCAAGACCCTGTCTCAAAAAAAAAAAAAAAAAAAAAAAAAAAAAAAAAAAAAAAAAAAAGAAAAGAAAAAGAAAAAAATCAGATTTTTTACAAACTACTCCCCCACTGATACTGCTACCCTGTTATAAAGCCTTCACTGATCTGTTGTTTACCTTTTATTTGCTCAACAATGCACAGGCTATAACAGTTAATGCTGGCATATACACAGACTCCTTTAACTACCTCACTCAGAACTGTTTATAATCTTCTAACAAAATTTTAATCTGAAATTTTAAAATTTCAGGGTATAATCTATTCTCCTTTAATATTGCTAAGCAATTCCAAAAAATGAACTACCATTTTTCACAGACTTTTAACATATTAGGAACTATGCTAAACATTATATATATATATATTTTTGTTGTTGTTGTTGTTGTTGTTGTTTTTGTTTTTGTTTTTTGTTTTTTTTTGGTACCAGGGATCAAACTCAGGCCCTTGCACTTGTGAGGCAGGTGGCAGAACCACTGAGCCAAATCCCCGGCCCTAAACATGTATTTTTTTCACAAAGCAGTTCTATTCCAAATACATCTCAACATCCTTTTAATGAGAGGATGGAAAGTCCTTTAAAACTTTATTGAAAATTAAACTTCAAGTTGAAGATCCAGTTTAAACTTTTGAATGATAACAAATTATTATTAATACCTGACCAAATGTGCCTAGATACTAAATTATATTTAAGTGCTTTCTGTTTAAATGTTAGTACATTAGGATTTTTTTTTACACAGGTTTGTATTTTGTTGAAGTTACTTTCCTCAACCATTTTTTTCCTTTAAAAAATAAATCCATCTTATTCTAATAAAAAACATTAAACTTCATTTAAAAAAAAAACAAGTCTTTTTAAAAAATAAAAAAAATTTTAAAAAAGCTCCCACTAACTCTTGCAGCCCTGAAGCTATTTGGAGAAGAGATAAAAACTTTATTTATTTATTTTTTTTTTTTTGCAGTACAGGGATCAAACATGGGACACCTTGCCCTTGCAAGGCACCACTGAGCTAAATCCCCACCCCTAAAAAACTAAGCGCTTAAATGCTCAGTCAATTATTTTGTAGCTATTTCTCTTCTACGTAAAACATTGTCTGAACTTCAATGTCAACTCTGAAACTGACATCTGAGCACCTGAGTCTTAAAAAAACTATAAACCTCCTAAAGATAAAACGACCAAACTCAAATTCCCACTCAACTAAAAGGCTGGTAGTTACCCTTCAATTTTTTTCTTTACTTTCACATCTAACTGGTCACCAATCCCTATGCAATCCATCTCCCAACTCTACTACTGCTGCCTAAATTTTCTATTGCAATGCATATTTAAGAAGTCTGTTTCCATTCTTAACCAACTTCAATCTTTCTCTCCACAAGGCTGCCAGAGTGACTTGTATAAATCAGAAATCTAACTGTGTCAAATTTCCTCACAGGTCTTTAATAGTCCTTTAACTGTGAGTCAAAGTCCATACTCATAATCGTGACCTACAAAGGCCTTTCTTCATAGGTCATAAAAAGCTCCTGTTTACCTTCTTAATATTACTTACTGAGCTTTCTAAACATATCCTGTACTTCATAAATACTTGAAATTCCTAACAAAATATTTATTCAATCATTCATTAAATATCTGCTGAGAACAAAAGGATCAGGCCCATTTCTATACCTCCTGGCCCTTTGTAGAAATACTGCATATACAAAGCCAGCTCTTATGGTGCTTATTTCAGAGGAGAGACAGACAAAAACAAGAAGAAGAGTAAAAGGGACTAGAAGTATAGTTCAATGGCCAAACACTTGCCTAGCATGTGCCAAGGCCCTGGATTCAATCCCCAGTATTACAATAAAAGAATTTTTATAAAAAAGGAAACAAAGGCTGGGCGTGGTGGCACATGCCTGTAATTCCAGCACTCAGGAGGCTGAGGCAGGAGGATTGCTAAGAGTTCGAGACCAGCCTGAGCTACATAGTGAGTTCCCGGTCAGTCTCAACTACATAGTGAGACCCTGTCTCAAAAAACAAAAAAAAAAAAAAAAAAAAAAAAAACCAAACAAAAAAAAAGGAAACAAAGAAGGGACGATATTTCAGATAATTTGAGTTCTGTGAAGATAGTAAAACACGACTAATGAATAAATTTAAATTAGCTGAACAAACTTCAGTGGATGTTAAAATCTGAATATGAAGCAACCATGTATTCTTTTTTTTCTTTTCATACCAGTGAGGATTGAACCCAGGACCTTGCATTTGTGAGGCAGGCAGCAACACCACTGAGCTAAATCCCCAGCCCAGCAACCATCTATTCAAAAGTTCTGGTAAAAAAATCTCAAGCACATAAAAAACAAGTATAAAAACCTTATAATACAGATATACTTAAAGTGTTCCAAAAACAGAACGAATGCTAGCATAGTTTAAGTGGGTTGGGGTTAAACAGTGATAAATGAAGTCAAAGAGCTGGCTGAAGATAACATAAGACCTTGCAAGTCTGAGGATTGAAGAGGTTAAGTTTTATTCATTGCCAAACAAAATCTACACAATGTTGAAATAGTACTATGATGCGATATAATTAAAAATTTAAAATGTAATTCAGCCTAATATATACAAATAGGTTATAGACAGGCAAGACAAAAAGAAAAACAGACTACTTAAGAGGATACTATAGCAACCAAGCTACTCTATAGCTTGGACCACATTACTAACAAAAGATGGAATAGAGCCAGGGATTTAGCTCAGTGGTACTGCACCTGCCTCACAAGCACAAGGTCCTGAGTTCAATCCATGGTACAAAAAAAGAAAAAAGACAGAAAGAGGAAAAGGAAAAAAGTGGAATAAATTGCATTCACTATGGATATACAATAAAAGGAAAGCCACCCAGACATGCTGATGGATTAACTCACAACTTAGTATTATCTGTGCATACTGTTTCCCATCCATATTTCCAAATATGTCTCCCTAGAAATATTAAGTAGCCTTTAATCCTAACTCTTTGCAAGCTAGTGAGGAAATAAGTAACAATACAGAGTGGTGGGTGACAGACAGTTTTTGAGAGTTCTCTGGGAATTCAGA